CCTGCTTTTTCCCCTGCCTGAGGCTGCAAACACTCCTGGGCAGCATGGTAGGACCCCAGGAATTGTTTACTCCACACTCATTTACACAACAAGCTAGACCATAACTGTGCTGCACACCCACTACTGTACTAATTGCCCATGCAGGTGCAGAGAGCAGCAGCTCGGTCCACTTGGAAAGCAGGTAACCGCCCCCCAAGGTGCACAATGAGCCAACCTAGGTGGCAAAGCGGGGGTGGTGCAAGTTCAGAGGAAGGAGTGTGCTGTAAATCCAGTCTTGCTCACTATAACCTCCCCAAATAATTAAGCTCTGTCTCTACAACCACAAAGGGCACGGGCTGGAATGGGAGACCAGGCCCCACTGTGGAGTCGCATGCCAGAGGGAGCTGCAAGCCTCAGGAGCTGCTGCAGTCTCTGGCCCCAGCTGCCACATCAGATCAAGCTTCCTGGCGACAGAATCGCAGCGTGAGGTTAGCTCTGAAGGCTCTGCCCCGGTTTATTTTCCAAGCCGATATGCGGTTTCTGTTGCCCGTAGCCCCAGTTCTCTCCTTTACCAGCTGCCTGGCACAGAGTTTCTGAGAAAGAGGCGGAGCAAAGATAAACCAAGTCAATCTGAAACAGGCAGGCAAGAAGAAGAATTTGTATTCAGTGCCCTGGAAAGAGCTGTCAAGTAAGGAACCCTGTCCTGGTCCAGCCTCAGCTCAGCCAGGACACTTGACACTGACCTGCAGCCCCAAGCCTGCATCACCTGAGCAAGACCCCTGGAGCCAAGGTTTGCTTCTGCAGCCTGGATGGAGCCGTCCTTCTCTCTTGGGCCATTTAAACACTGGCCTGCCTGTTGCGTGCATCTAATGCTAAGGGACTGGAACATAGCAGGGGCCCAATCAGACAGCCAGAGAAGCTGGTTTGGCAGGTTTCACTGCAGAAACCAGCCCCCACCCTAAATCAAGCAGGGAGTAGAAGTATCTGAGCTAATGCTGGTCTGACCGCAGCCCAGCCTGAGTCACACTGAAACCTGACAGGCTCCTTCCCCCTGCAGCCCACTTCACCTGGGCCAGGGCTGCTCTGGGAGAGTCATGGGCCCAGGAACCCGGTGATCTGGGTGGCTGCACACACAGTCCATGTTTAACAAAGCACAGGCCAGCCTGCACGGACTGCCGGCATTGGGAAGGCCTTTTAAAAAACATTTGCAGTACCCAGTTCCTCTCTATGGCCTGAGGGTAGGAATGTGGATTTACACTGGAAACTTTGGAGCTTGTCCCCTGTAGTGTGCACAGAGCACTGTGAGCATTGCTAATGATTGGCCTCTCCTGCCTACCACACAGTGTCTTGCTGAACTACCAGTAACCTGCAAGGACACAAACAGTTTGTGGGGGTCGGATTCGATGATCTATTGAGGTCCCTTCCGACCCTAACATCTATGAATCTATGAATCTATGATAGCTGACAAACACAGCTGGCTTTTAAGACTTTTTCATGGAGCTTTAAGCTCAGCTAAGGTCCCATCTGCATTCCAGGGGGGAACAGTGTTGGAATCAGGTCGCCTAACTCCAACATAAATGGAGCTGGTGTATTTGCATCCCTGAGGGTATATCCTTCTGCAAAGACAAACCTTGCTGGGGTTATTTGACCCCAGCAGTCTTTTCTGCCTAGAGCAAGGGGGCTGGATCTGATGATCTCACGAGATCCCGTCCATCCCTAAACTTCTGTGATCTGTGTGAATCTGTGACACAGGAGCAGATCTCAGGCGCGCTTGTGCAAAGCAAAGCACCAATTGGACAACCTCCCCCAAGACGGCCTGCAACCTGTTACAGCTCCTTGTTGGACCAGAGCCCCTGTGCAGTCAGTCTCCTGCTCACCTATACTGCTGCTTCACTAGGTGAACATCAGCTGTGCTGCATGGTCATCAGAAAGGACAGACCGTTTATCATAGAAAAGTGGGACCAAGAGGGTCTTCAGGGGATAATCCAGTCTATTTCCCCACACTGAAACAGGGTCCGAACTGGACAATCCCTAACAAATATTAGTCTAACCTGGTTTTGAAAACCTCCAACAAAGGAGATTCTACAGCATCAGTTCTTCACTACTCTTTAGTTTGAAAGTTGTTCCTAAATCATCTTTTCTGCAAATGAAGCAGGCTACTTCTTGTCCCATCACCTGTTCCCATGGAGAAAAATTGATCACCATCCTAGATAGCACATTGGGAGCCTTATCATGTTGCACACCCCCTGCTCACCTTGAAGAACTCTCTTTCCAAGGCTAAACTATCCAAGTCGTTTTGTGGCTACAGCAGAGAGCTGCGTTCCTCACTGCCTAGGAGAAGGAGGCCTTAGACCTACAGGTTTGATGGGGTTTAGATCAAGTAACTAATCAGACAGTGGGAAAATCCACCCAGGAAATACAGCTCACAACTTTAAATAGGACTCCTCCAGGCTGCCACTTCCAGGGCTCTGGGTTCAGCCTAGTGTGAAGTCACTGGCCGTGATTAGCAAGCTACTGCTGCCAAGAGCGAGAGGCCAGTTTGCTGGGAAAAAGTTGCTGTTTAGGAAAAAGCTCTGTTTGCAACCCTCCCGTTTGGTACCTGACGCAGTCATTCTTTAAGAAACTTCATAGGAGTCAATGGGAATGAAAAAGAGAATTTGTAACACTG